ATGTTGAAATCACCACTAACCATCCATGGCAATCCCTCCATACTCTCAGCAATCTCACGCAGGGTGTCCCACAGATCGTATCTCCCAACTCTATTACACTTGGCATAAACTAAAGTGTGGAATATGGGCTCAGGTAGATGATCAGCAGAAAGCTCGATATGAAGCACCTGTTCGGTGTCCCGAAGGACCCGACAAGTGTAATCACGCGAGTGGAAAAAGAAGATCTTATGAGAAGTGTTACCCACGCCCGAATGGAAGCCCAAACGACGAGAGTAATAGTCAAAGTCCGGGGTATGGATCATCGGCTCGATGAAGCCGACAAAGTCTAATCTATGATCACGAATGAGAGAGCGAAGGTGAGCGAGAGTGGCCCTATTGGCCAATCCCCGTCCATTCCAAGTAATGGACGTGACAGACATATCAACAATGGGAAGAGCCACCGGACGAGGTCCGCGTGTGGATAGGCTGAGTCAAACCACATACAGGAGGGGGAAGGTGGCGAGAGGATCGACGAAGGGCTGGAGAGACAGTCCGCCTCATCCTGCGCGGTGCGTGTATGGTCTTCGAGGGTGAACGCCCTCGGAAAGCACTCGTGGCCTGCGAATCATCAGGCTGAGCAGTCTGACCAAGACTGGTACTAGGAGCCTGCCCCTGCTCATCAGGCTGAGCAGTCTGCCTCTGTTCTTGCTAGGTTAGTTATATATCTCTGCAAGGTTAGGTTTATCATGTTGCAATGTTAGTTATATGGTGTTGCTAGGTTAGCTGTCTGTTGGTGCTATGTTAGTTATTTGTTAGTGCTGTGTTTAGTTATCTATAACTGCTATGATAGTTGTCTTTCAATGCTAGGCTAGTTACATAACTCTGCAATGATAGTTTTATCAAGTTATATATCTCTGCAATGATAGTTTTATCAAGTTGCTAGGTTAGCTGTCTGTTGGTACTAGGTTAGGTCTCTGTTTTTGCTAGGTTAGTTATATATCTCTGCAACCTTAGTTTTATCATGTTGCAATGATAATGGTTTTGCTAGGTTAGGTCTCTGTTCTTGCTAGGTTAGTTATCTTCTGATGCTAGATTAGTTATATATCTCTGGAAGGTTAGTTTTGTCGTGTTGCAATGTTAGTTGTATGGTCTTGCTAGGTTAACTGTCTGTGGTGCTATGTTAGTTATTTGTTAGTGCTATGTTTAGTTATCTGTAACTGCTATGATAGTTGTCTTTCCATGCTAGGTTAGTTACATATCTGTGCTAGGTTAGTCCTCTTTTTTTGGTAGGTTGGTTGTCTATTACTGCTAGGTTAGTTATCTGTAGCTGCCACGATAGTTGTCTTCTATTGCTAGGTTAGTTTTATCCTGTTGCAACGTTAGTTGTATACATCTGCAAGGTTAGGTATACACTTCTGCAAGGTTAGTTTTATCATGTTGCATTAGTAGTATGTTGTTGCTAGGCTAGCTGTTTGTTGCTGCTAGATTAGTTTTATATAGTTGCAATGATAGTTGTATGTTCTTGCTGGGTTAGTTATCTTTTCCTGCTAGGTTAGTTATGTACCTCTGCAAGGTTACTTTTCTGATGCTGCAATGTTAGTTGTAAGTTTACTTATATCTATTTAACATTTTTTTTTTTTTTTGTAACTCAGTTTAATTTGAAGAAATCGTTATGGAGCCTGGTGATGAAGTTTTTTTGCTTACTCATCCATCATCTGGCAATCCATCTCGTAAACGGCAGTCTGATGATAAACTTCATTTCCCAAAGCTGTCAACACGATCTCCTGCAAAAACTTTGGTTGAGTCAATTGCTAAATTAAATGATGAACAGAAGACAGTTGTAGAAAAGATGGGTTTTGGATACTTGCTGCATTTTAAGATTAAGGAGATTCCAAGCAATTTAGCTTTCTGGGTGGTGGATAATTTTGACCCGGTTAACTCTGTCTTGCGTTTTTCGGAGGGGAACATCCATATCGAAACTGTTGATGTGGAGAAGGTCTTAGGCTTCCCAAGAGGTGATAAGCCTATTCAATTAAAGACAAAATCTGAGACTTGTGAACTGTTGGATAACTGGAGGAGTCAGTTTGCATCATCTTCTGAGAGAATCACTCCTGAACACGTGAGCCAAAAAATGTTGCAGTGTAATTTTGATGACGGTGGTCAAATGTTCTGCTGTAACTTTGAT